GGTGGGTGCTGCGAATCAGCCATGGGCCAGTGAAAAATGGACTATCGTTCTTGGAAAGTGAAGAATAATTGTAGGTGGGTGTAATTATCGCTAAAAGCAGGACCTTTCTGCCGATCAGGCCCTTCTGGTGATATTATTTCGCTTGTTACAGATGCTTTTGTTGTGAAAATAGTGTGCTTCTGGTCATTTAATAAATAAGAGAAGATAGATTATAATGCAGAATAGTTTAGGTGGTTTGATCACCACTTATGATTGTAATAGTTGGTGCAAAGAGTCGAAATAGAGATGAGAGGTGATGCGATCATTGCGTCGCAGTTGCGCCACAATTTTTCGCAATTACGGGTCACAGTGCGATCGCAGTTGCGGCGCAACTGCGTCGCAATCTGACCGCAATAGCAAACATGGGTAAAGATTCCATTTAGATTATGACCTGAATAATCATTTGGATCTTGAGGATTTAATGGCTAATATTCAACTGGAGAATGTTCAAGAACTAATTGATCATAACTCGAAAGAAAATTACTAATTACAACACACATATTTATTACGAAAAGTTTTGAAAACATTTTTCAAAATCTAAAATACTCAAAGATTATTTGTTTTTTTTTATAAAATAAAAAAAACAATTTATAAACGTGCATCAACACAATCTTTAGGTAAAATTCCTTTAATGTCATAAATGATTTTTTTTGAAGATTTAACTGAAGAAAAGTCTAGGCTTTTAAATTGTTGATGAGCAACTCCAATAACAATGCCATGATAGTCATCAAAAATGATATTTCTATCAAAATCTTTTATCTCAATGCCAAATTCATCGAAAACACGTTTTTTCGATGCCCATGGATCGACAATATCGACATGACAACCAAATTCTTCTAAATCTTGAACAATATCAATTATTTTTGAATTACGAATATCGGGACAATTTTCTTTAAAAGTTATTCCTAAAATTAAAATATTTGAATTCATAACAGATATTCCTTTTTTAATCATTGTTTTAATAATTTCCGATGAAATATAATGTGACATTGTTTCATTGATTCTTCTACTTGCAAGAATAATTTCCGGAATGTAGTTTAATGATAAAGACATATTAATTAAATAATATGGATCAACAGCTATGGAATGCCCGCCAACAAGACCTGGTTCAAATGGTAAACTATCCCATTTTGTTCGTGTTGCTTCTAAAACTTCATGTGTATCAATTCCAGCTAAATGAAATATACGTGAAAGTTCATTTACAAATGCAATATTTATATCACGTTGAGAATTTTCAAATAATTTCGCAGCTTCAGCTATCTTTATCGAAGAAACCATAAATGTTCCTGCTTCGATTATTTCTTTATAAAGTGCATCGATTTCTTGAGCGATTGCAGGTGTTGAGCCTGATGTTATCTTTCGTATTGTTTTTATTGTATGAAGTTTATCACCGGGATTGATACGTTCAGGTGAATAACCACAAAAGAAGTCAATATTATATTTCAGATGACTTACTTCTTCAAGAATTTTAACACAAATATCTTCTGTTACACCTGGATAAACAGTTGATTCATAAATAACAATATCATTTGTTTTTAGGACTTTTCCAATTGTTTCAGATGCATTTTTTAATGGAAATAAATCAGGACGATTATTTTCATCAACGGGTGTTGGAACAGCAACAATAAAAATTTGACATTCATACAAGTCCTCCATGTTTGTTGTAAATTTTAAATATTTCGATGATTTCAAGTTTTCATCGGACGATTCAAGATTTGGATCATGACCAGTTTTTAATTTTTCAATACGTTCTTCATTCATATCATACGCTACTGTTGGACGAGATTTTCCAAATTCAACAGCTAATGAAAGACCAACATAGCCAACTCCAACTATTCCGATAGATTTCATCTGAAATAATGAATTATCTAAGAGTCAATTTATTCGAAATACAATTATAATCATATGGTAAATTTGTACGCCTCCTTATTCATATGGATGCAAAAATATGATTTGCTATTACCTTTCGTATTTTGTTATGTTTAATCGACATGAAAAGAAAAAAGGGCAATTCAAAAAGTATCTTTTTCTCAACATGAGAAAAGGAAGAGATTCATCCTAAAATAAAAAGTAGGAAATAGATGATAATTATTGAAAATAAAATTCTTACATAAACATTTCTTCGTAGTAGGACCACATATTCCATTTGTACAATCTGAAGCTTTGCTACATGATTTTCCACTTGCACATTTTGTTGTACAAACAGTTCCACCGCAATCAACATCAGTTTCGTCTTGATTTCGTAATGAATCACTACACGTTGCAGCTAAAATAAATATTTTATTCAATTTCATAATAGATCTTTACAGAAAAAAGAACATTCTCCCAGGTCGATCATTCCGGCGACGGGATTCGTTGAAATCTGAGTCGGTTCCGGTACAGCTCTTCTCGATTCCGGCACAGTTTTCGCCGGTTCCGGCAAGTAAATGGTCGGAAAAAGAACCTAACCGGCCGGAACCGACTGTGCCATAATAACTTGGATAACTTCGGCATGTTTTATCCGGTGGTCGACAGAATCCACTTTGACAGTCTGCATATTTTCCACAACTCTTTGTATCTGAACATTTAGCTGAACAAACTGATCCACCACAATCAGTATCTGTTTCATTTTGATTTTTGTATCCATCGAAACAACTGGGTGCTAGAAATGTTCATTTAAACAAAGATTTCATTATAAATCAAAGTGATAATTACTTTGACATGATTTATCTGTTCCTCGACAACATCCACTTGTACAATCGGAATTTCTTGCGCAATATTTTGTAAGAGCACATGTTGCTGTACAAATCAATCCACCACAGTCAACATCAGTTTCATCTTGATTTTGAAATCCGTCTGTACATGATGCAGCTAAAAAAAGATTCAAATATACAAAAAAACGTGAATTCGTTTTTTTTAAATACTTCGACATGTTTGGTCTATTAATCGACAATAACCACTAGTACAATCAGAATTTTGCGAGCATGTTTCGTTATCTATACATTGAGTTGAACATATTGATCCACCACAATCAACATCTGTCTCATCTTGATTTCTAAATTCATCAGAACAGCTTGGTGCTAGAAGTTTCATTTCAAAATATTTCATTCAAAATATCAAACTTACTCTGACATGTTTTGTCATTTGAACGACAAAATCCAGTTGTACAATCTCCATCTTTTCGACAAGTTTTATTTAAAGAACATTTTATTCCACAAATTCGTCCTCCACAATCAATGTCGATTTCATCTTGATTTACATAATTATCCGTACAAGTCGGTGCTAAAGAATAATTTCCAATCAACTTTCTTACAAACATAGTGACAAATCCGGTTTTATTTTTACTTTGACATGTTTGATCTGCTGTTCTACAAAAATCACTAATACAATCTGAATTTTTCGAACATGGTTTTGTATTTTCACATTTTGAAATCGAACTTCCACTTCCACAAACTAATGTTGTTGTTTGATTTACACATGCTAAACAAATGTTGATAAAACAAAAATCAAATCCGAAAATCAAGCTTACAACTAATTGTCGTTGGAAGTTCTTGATGATCAAACGAACAGAAATATAATAAAGTGGAAATAGTTTGATTATTATTGAGATGAATTGGAATTGTTATTGAAGAAAATAAATTTTTTATATTATATATAATATGGTTTGTGGAACGTTGTTGACACAATATTGTTCCACAACCACGAGGATATTCAATGACAAACTTGATTCTTAATACATTATCATTGAGATGCTCGGAATTTTCACATTGAATTGTTCTTGTGAAAATCGAAAGATTTCAGTTATTCAACAAAAAAGAAATCTTACTCTCGTTTCTGTCTCTGACCATTTGTGACAATAACAAATCCCGCATCGATTATTTGTATTCGATTAAGTATTAAGATTGTATTTAACTGAAATAAGTCATTAACGATAGGAGAGGAAAACAAAGGAATGAAATAACCTACATTTGAACTCAGTACATCAATATCTGATACGTTTAAAGATCCAACATTTGTTAAATTTGTTATGTAATTTAATTCATAGTGTTTTGTGCCTTTTATATGTAAAAACAAGAGAAATAATCGTTTAAAAGCTAAAAATACAACATACTTGTTTTCGTTTCTGGGAAAACAGCATTATTTTGTAAATAAATCGGAATAAGACCAATGATAGTAACTCCGCCAGTAATTAACATTGAAAACAAAAAGAAGGTCATTATAAGCAACGATAAATAACAAGAATTGATTTCCATTTGATCGAAATTAATCTGAAAAAGAAAACAAGTCATATTTATATAGTATAATATAAGAAAATAAAATCATCGACATCGATATTTGTTGACATAGGAAAATAAGTCGAATGTCATTTTATAAATGTCTGATGTATATTTTCACGATTTATATCGATCGTGAGAAGCAATGTTCGTATGTTACAGTCACTCTGACCTTTGACATAATTATTTTCTCGAAATTATTCAATCGCAAAATTAAGACTATTTATGCGTTTTTCTTTTAATGAATGACAAGAAAAACATGAAAATTGTCAATGTAACGCTGAAATTTCATCGAATTGAAATTGATGAGTTAAACAATTTCAATAGTAAAAATGGATAGATCGGAAGTATTTTTCACATTTTTCTTCGGTCTACCCCATGATAAATTTCCAACATTATAAAAAACGGTTGTAATAACAGCAATAGATATAAACGAAGTACATAATTTATTTAAAATATAACTATGAATAAATTTCGGACATATTCTTCGAAGTTTTGCTTTCAAAAATGATGAAATAAAAAAATAAAATGTTGGATATAAAACAAGAAATAATTGAATTATTAATTGAATAAGTAGAACATTTTGTGTTAATTGATAAATAAATAAAACAATATTAAACAATCTAAAATAAACTACCCAGGTCCAACAATCCCATACTCGGATCCCATCGGATCCTACAGGAATTCGATGGATCCGATGAAATCCTGGTGACGGAATCGCATTGGATTCCAATGGTCTCGGATCCGAAACATGGATTTCCTGGGTTTTCTAAGGGTCATCATAGAACATAGCTAAAAAGATCGCTCATAAAATTTGCAACAACCGACGGGATATTTCAAGTCGGATTCCAATGCAATTTCGTTTCCAGGAATCCGATCGGATCCAGCATCGGATTTGTTGACCTGGGTAAAGCGATTCTAGCCATATCAAGAAATAAAGATAAACGAATTATTGGATGAATTCGACTTGAACAAACACCAAGTAAGGAATTAAAAAAAGCATTACTTCTCCATCGACGGCGTTGTGTTACAAATCTGTATAAACTATGTGGAGGTTTCGTATAACAAACAGCTGATTCAACTAGACATGTTTTTATTTGATGATATTGAATCAGATACACTAAACGACGATCTGTACCAAGTCTTTGAGCTGTTGTTTGAATAAGTTGACTTTGACGAGGCATTTTTGCATAATCAGATGTAACATGCGAAAATTTCTCATCAACTTGAATCATTGTAATACAACCAGGTAGACAAGTAATTCTTCGAAAGATATTTTCAAAGCTTCTTCGTAAAACTTGTCCATATAAATATTGAAAATTTTGATAAAGATTCCAAAATCCTCCAAAATGATTATAGAAATCGACCATAACGATGCCACATGCAGCACCAACATGTCGATATTCCACTTCATCAATAAGACGTGTTAATGAACCTGATCGAATAAAACTATCAGCATCTGTGAAAAACATATAATCATATTTTGATATCGAATACAAATGTTTGACTTCTTTTCGGATTAATTTTCTAAAATAAACTGTTAATGTTGATATATCATTTCTTAAACTATTAAATACATCAAATGATAAGATAAGACTATCTTTCTTTTCCATATTAATCTCTTTTTTAATAATAACACCTAGAATTTTATGACAATAACCATAAACAATATCACAACTAATATTTTGATCTTTCCATGAATTGTATTCAATATTTATTTGAGATTTTATCGTTTTGTTTAAAATTGAATCAACATTTATCGAATTTCCATCAGATATAATAATAATTAATAATCTATATAATTTATATAAATTATAAAAGGGTAAGATTATAGCACATAAGATATCTTTGATTTTAAGAATAATTATTACTACAAGTACTCCTTGTTGGCCACCAAATAAATCAATAATTGCAATACATATTATATTTATTATAAGATTAAATATAGAAAATATCGTTTTAATGTAAACTATGTATTGAAATGCTTTTTATTAATTTCGATTTTGAATAGATTTCATAAAGATTTTTTCCAATATTTTTCAATTAAAATTCCACATAAACCGAGTAAAATGATCACAATTATTGCCGTTAATGCAACTATTGTTCGAGTATTATTTATATTAACACTTGATGATAGACTTCGTTTTATCATATTCAAAATTATAAATAAATAGATTCCATTTTGCGCAATAGGGGAAGAAAAGAAGAAAAATTATGTATGTTTAATAAATAAAGGTAAAAGGAGCGGATAAACATCATAGACTGTTTTTTCTAAGGTTTGTTAAATTGTTCGTAAATACGTGTCACCACGCTTTTTGTTATATATTATAATTTTTTATTTACAGAGAAATGTTTTTCCAATTAAGATTTTCATCCTTTTTGTATCTCTATTTTTAAAAATATACCATTACTTTTGGAATATTATCGAATTCGAAAACATGACTTTATATATGTGCCATGATTCTTTATAAAAATGATTCATTTGGAAAATCAATCTTTAATTTCTATTTATAATCAAATTCTTTTGATTTTTTTATATGAATATTTCATGTTTTCACAAAGTTTTTCACAATCGATTAATTGAATTTTCAAGTCGGTTTTATAATGATTTATAAATCAATGTTAGGAAAGAAAAATATTTAACTACCAAATTAAAATAGAATGATCGGTGAGCCGATGAAAGTACAGCCGACATTTGTTTTTCACCTTGAAATATATACACATGCAGCGATATTGACTATTTAATGAGAAAAAATAACTTATTTCGTGAAATCTATAGATATTCGAATTGCTTTTTTAATATGTCATTTTGTCGTCTCGCATTGACTGACATTTTCAACAGGTACTTTCGTATAAAATAAAATAGAACATGTCATTATAGTTTTTTCGTTGTGTATTTGATTAATGTATTCAGAATATACCCATTTGAATAACGTATATGAATATTTTCATTGATGACTTTTGAAAAATTGATTTAGAAAATCAAATCTCATTGAAAATTATAGAACGACCGTTTATCCACCATGCGATTTTTTAAAGAGTGAAAGAGAGGAACGAGCACATAACTCTACNAAGAGATCTTTACAGAGAAAAGAAAAGACATTTTACTTCGACATGTTTTATCCGTTGGTCGACAAAATCCATTTTGACAATCTGCATCTTTTCCACAACCCTTTGTATCTAAACATCTAGCTGAACAAACTGATCCCCCACAATCAGTATCTGTTTCATCTTGATTTTTATATCCATCGGAACAACTGGGTGCTAGAAATGTTCATTTAAACAAAGATTTCATTATAAATCTAAGTGATAATTACTTTGACATGATTTATCTGTTGTACGACAAAAAGCACTTGTACAATCAGCATTTTTTCCGCAAGATAAACCATTTGCACATTTAGCTGTACATGCTGTACCGCCGCAATCAACATCACTTTCATCTTGATTTCTCAATAAATCAAAACAAGTTGCCGCTGTAAGACAAAAGATGAAAGTATTTGTTTGAATACAAATATATTAAAAAAGCAAACCAACTTTGACATGTTTTATCCGTTGGTCGACAAAATCCACTGTGACAATCTGCATCTTTTCCACAAGTTTTTGTGAGAGAACATTTAACTCCACAAGTTGATCCACCACAATCAATATCTGTTTCATCTTGATTTCTAAAACCATCTGAACATCCTGATACTAAAACCAAAAGATTCATTTAAATTTCTCGAAATTTTTCAAAATAACCTTGACATGTTTTATCTGTTCCTCGACAAAATCCACTTGTACAATCGGAATTTCTTCCGCAATATTTTGTAAGAGCACATGTTGCGGTACAAATCAATCCACCACAGTCAACATCAGTTTCATCTTGATTTTGAAATCCATCTGTACATGATGCAGCTAAAAAAAGATTCAAATATACAAAAAACAAATGAATTCATTTGTTTTTAAATACTTCGACATGTTTGATCTGTTAATCGACAATAACCACTAGTACAATCAGAATTTTGCGAGCATGTTTCATTATCTATACATTGAGTTGAACATATTGATCCACCACAATCAATATCTGTCTCATCTTGATTTCTAAATTCATCAGAACAGCTTGGTGCTAGAAGTTTCATTTCGAAATATTCCATTCAAAATATCAAACTTACTCTGACATGTTTTGTCATTTGAACGACAAAACCCCGTTTGACAGTCTGATGAAGTTTCACATGACTTATCAATAGAACATTTTGTTGAACAAATTGATCCTCCACAATCAACATCAGTTTCATCTGCATTCCAATAATTATCTTTACATGTTGATACTTTGAAAAAACAAACAAACAAATCTTTTCTTCACACAGAAATCTTGAGAAATAGAAAAACCAATCGCAATACTTTGACATGTTTTGTCATTTAAACGACAAAATCCAGTTGTACAATCTCCATCTTTTCGACAAGTTTTATTTAAAGAACATTTTATTCCACAAATTCGTCCTCCACAACCAATATCGGTTTCATCTTGATTTACATAATTATCCGTACAAGTCGGTGCTAAAGAATAATTTCCAATCAACTTTCTTACAAACATCGTGATGAATCCAGTTTTATTTTTACTTTTACATGTTTGATCCGCTGTTCGACAAAAATCACTAATACACACTGAATCTTTCGAACATGGTTTTGTATTTTCACATTTTGAAATCGAACTTCCACTTCCACAAACTAATGTTGTTGTTTGATTTACACATGCTAAACAAATNGGTTTTTGTGCGGGTAAGGGGATCATGGACTATGTATCGAGTGTACCTGTTGGTATGACAAAAAGTGCTATTCAGAATCCCAGTACTGGTTAGTTGAGAACTCGAATATTTTGAGTTGAATGAGTTTGCGATTGTTACGTTACAGGCATTTATCAAATTGTCCTAAGTTGGGTTCCTGTTGCCAGTCAGTATGGTCCACAAGCTGTTTGTATGGGTGCAGTCGACAATACGAACATTCAAACAAATCAATGGTGCATCACCTTTTTGGTTGGTTTCAAATCACCTGATGTCATTCGACCGAAGATGGTGCAAGGTTCAGCTTCACCTATCGGCACTGTCTTTCAAAATCAAACAACTTTCTCAATTCAAAGTAACATCTATCGACGCAAGAACCAAAGAAAACAACAACACGGCCTTTTCTTCTATTTTTTAGCATCGATCTCAGTCAATCGTCCAACCCGTAACGGCACGTATATCTACTTTTACTTTGCCAATGGCACTCTTGTCCAGAAGTATGATTGTGGCTGGGAACCGGAAGTCACATACACGGGTTTCACCATTGTCATTCGTTTTCCTGTTGCACCATGGCAACCTGGAGCTTTCTACTATGTCAACATGGACAGTGGTATGTTTCTACTGATCCTTTCTTTCATGATCTGTTGTATTGATGTTTAGGAGTGGCAAGTGGAACTGAGTTTTGTGGTGAGTGATGCCACTAATAGTATGACACAAGCATGAATTCTCTCCTCACTTCTTCCAGGTCCAGAATCTGCACCCATCACTGATCCGAGCTTCTGGGTGTTTAACATCTGGAATCCTGCACTCTCATCCACAACAACAACCACGACCACACCCTTTACAACTGTCACAGTCACAACAAAACAAACATCGACAACAAGTATCAACACTCTCGTAAGACTCTTTCGCTCTCTCTTTTGTTCATTGTATCGCATCTAAATGTGTTCCAAATAGTTAACAACAACCGGTATTGTTGTGACAACCACCAGTCCACCGACAACAACATCCACAGCTTCAACAACGGCACCACCCACGACAGCTGGTATAATCTACTGCTTTTGTTGTTCATACACAAAATCTGTTGTAATTTGTTTGTTTAGCACCAACGACAGCTGCTCCAACGTCACCTGGTTCGACAACTGAATCGACTGTTGCTGTTTTGTATCCGAAAGACTTTGTAAGTGACATTCATCATCATCATCATACATCTGTCTATGTAACATGAATAATAGGAAGATATCTGTCTTCAACCTATTGCTATTCTGACTGCAGCATTCTTTGCTGCAATGGTACCAATTCAAGGTTTGGCTTTGTTTGCTGCATTTACCAAATTAGCAAACACATTCAATCCATCGAAGATCAACGCACAAACGAGACACAAACAAAGAATGAAACGAGTCATGAAAAAATAGACTTGCGGTCGCATTTGAAATTTATTTTCACTTTTAACATAATCAAGACATTTCCTTATCCATTCCTTCTTTTTCAAGTTAAATAAAAATACGTGAATGATCAAGTAGAAAACATAATGAAACATATGAGACGACAAAAAATTCGGAAGATCTTTAAAAACTTTGAAAATACAGCGAATCAGATATGCACATGTCTGGTATGATTATCCCCTATATCAACAGAGCTATTTCGTCGCTCGTTATACCGCTTGGTTAGCTACTACATTCACTATGGTTCACTCAAATCCTCACATATTTTTAACGCATGTATTTTCTTCGTAGATGTCAGTACTCAACAATAAAAGGGAAGGAATATTGACTATGTAGAAATGTTGTGTTTAACCTGAAACTGATAAATCCAACGCCCAGTTTAGGTGCTAACTTTCATTTCGTCAGATAAATTTCGTTTTGTATTCATTAACAAAAAAACCAGTAGTATTCGACTCAAGCGAATCTGGAGATGTGTCATTTTGCGTGAATTACGAAATTTGTTCTTTGATAAAGTGGTGATATTTAACCATACTTATCATTTTGAATATAAGTCTTATTATACTTTTTTGCTACACGAGATAAGAATAAATTCACGAGTAGTGCCTTACGTACTTTGTAGGTCAAAATGTTGAAAATTAGACAACGTCGATTAGGAAAAAATGGTCCTGAAGTATCGTGTGTGGGTTGTGGAGCAATTATTATGGCAAACATCGATGGAAAAGAGGACCAACGATTTGAAATTTATCATCGTGCAATCGAACTCGGTTGTAGTTTTTTCGATAGCGGCGATGTTTATGGCGATAGCGAAGATTCTCTTGGAAATTATTTTTCAAAGTATCCAAATCAACGCGAAAAAGTGTTTCTCGCCACGAAATTCGGTCTTGTTCGTTCATCCGAATCGAACGCTTACATAGCACGTGGCGATGCCCAATACGTTCACGAAGCGTGTGAAAAAAGTTTAAAACGTCTCCGCGTGCACTTTATCGACCTCTATTATGTTCATTGCATCGATACGTCAATTCCAATTGAAGAAACGATCCATGCGATGAAAGAATTGATTGATCTCGGAAAAATCAAACACATTGGGTTATCCAACTGTTCAAGTGAAACGCTTCAACGTGCATATGCCATTCATCCAATTTCGTGTGTACAGATCGAATATTCACCATTTAGTCTAAACATCGAGAAAGATCAAAGAAGTCTTTTGCAGACATGTCGACGGCTGGGGGTGGCAATAGTTTGTTATTCACCGTTAAGTCGAGGGCTGCTTGGCGGAAATATTCGATGTTTAGATGACTTGGATAAAAATGACTTCCGAAGACATTTCCCAAGGTTTTCCTCAGAGAATTTAACGGACAATATTCGAATAACTGACGAATTCACGAAATTGTGTGCAAGAAAAGGTTGCAGTCTCAGTCAGTTAACCTTGGCTTGGATCCTTGCGCAAGGTGAAGACTTCATTCCAATTCCAAGTACAACCAAGTTGGCCCATTTAGAAGAAAATCTTCTTTCAACTCAAATTCAATTCGATCAAACTGAATTAAATGATATTCGAGATATTTGTGAAAAATATCAAGTCGCCGGAGAACCTTGTCCGAAAAACATGTCACATTTTTTATTTTCTGACTCCGCTCCGCAATGAACTCATCAGAAATCGACTAAAAAAGCTAAACAATGATTTATGAATGTGATGCTATTTGTTGTTCTTGGTCAAATTGTATTGTTTTACTTCAACAAGTATAATCTTTCGAAACAGTTTATTTGTAGTGAATGAGAAGAGAAAGCATCAGAAGAGTTCAAGGATTTGCTAAACGGCAAATGTGAGTGCTCGGCTAAAAACATAAAACTCATCGATAACACCAAAGAATTGACGCATAGAAATCGATCCTGATTTGCAAGAATTTGGGTGAGGGTGTGGGTGTGAGGGTGTGTGTGAGGGTGTGAATATAGATATGGATACTGTATTCTCGTCACACCCACATATCCACCATCAAGATTGCCACAGTCATACCCACAAATATACTCATCTACACTGCGGCCCAGACACCCTCACACACCCTCACGAAAAATAGGAGGCATCAATTTCAGTAGCGATACTATAGTGACTCAGCGCAAAGCATTGAAACGTGACTATGATGTTCTATTTTTACGACAAACAATTTTATTTTCGATCGGAAGAAACGAAAAGCATGCGTCATAGACGTCTGTTTTATTCATTAAAATGAATAATAATATGGATATTTTGCATTTCTCCAGTAAAGAACATCGTAGTGGCTGTGTTGCTATGGTTCCTCTCACCTGCTACACATTCTTTATAACTGTCAGAATTTCGATCAAACCATTTCATTGACTAATTCTTCATGTCTTGATCACATTTCAGCAGTTAAATGGACGGTGGTTGCTCCGCCTCTAGCATACTACGTAAGATTGTTGCACAGGTTTAGTGCGTAGATATTTTACATTGAATTTATTTATTTTTACTTTCACAGAGACTCCTACAGGACTCCAGCCAGCTTACCGAACTACTATGGACGTATACTCATCCAGCTATGCCCCAGTTCGAAACTCATTGTCTTGTTCAACTTGTTTTAGTATGTCTAATTCATCCAGCCGTCGAATCAGTCTTTTTCTCTGTTCGTGTTTAACAGGCAGGTTAACCTCAACTACCGAATTCTATAGAAGTGCACCATTCACCAGTCAAAGCATGTCTGCAGGTTATATCTCAATTAGTTTCACTTCCTTTCCTGCCAACACGCTTTCGTTTTTTTTCTCTTAGGCAGTGGTACATTCAATTCATCGAACTCCATCCAAGAGCAAAACCGTAGTCCTCTACAAAACTCAAATAAAATTGAAGTTTTTATTCATCCGAGTGCACAACAGCGTTTATACTATGAATCAGAATATGAAAGTGGACCTTTACGCTTCATTCAAGGTCCAGAAGTTCCAACAGAGCAAAACGGAAAGGAATATAAATATCCAGCTATTAGAGTAAGCGTACTCATAAGCGTTTTTCTCTTGTAATCGATCAGTCTACTGATTTATGTCTAGGTTCTATTGGAGTATTGCGATCTCATTCCGTCCTATTATATCCGTGTTACATTGACTACAATTCAACAGGGAGATGGAAGGCGTTATATTCATCCTAATCGTTTCATAACACCAGATGAAGAGGAAGATCTAGAAGTTCTTCGTAACGATAAAAGTCTCTTTTATCCAATCAAGAAAGAAAGAGTAGATGCAAATAGGATTATGGAGTAAGTTTCAATATATCCAGTCGATTTCTTCATTCTCACGGGGCTGTATTTGTACAATTAATTCTAGATTCAAGCGTCTCGTGATGATTACAAACAAACTTAATAAGCTGAAAGAGTACACATCTTTAGTTTCATTTGAGACAAGTGAGCTTGTTGATTTTCGAAACATGTGTTAATGGAATCTGATCCATTCATTCTCTTTTCAGATGAAGAATGTCCAATCACCGTGCAACGCCCGAGAGACACAATTAACGAGTATCAGTTACACAAGTCACAGTTAGCCTTCAGTCTCGGTCAATTTATAGATGCAAATCATTTTTATTCTATTCAAACAATATTCTCGGACGTTATGGAAGAAACAAAAGACGGTAGATAACTACTGACTTGTAGATCTTCATCCCTTCTTTCTTTTCTTTGGGTTCATAGGACGATCAAAAGATAGTCGATATACTGTAAAAAGTACTGTTGCATCTAAATTGTACGATAACTTTACTCAAGACGGTGCAATCGACTCAAAAAAATGGAAATTTGTAGAGGACAATGGAATAGACGTGTGGGATATACACACAAAGCAATACTATACAACTAATGTTCTCACAAATGCACGCTGTCAGAACAATCATCTAGTCATTGAGGCACGAAATAACACTAACAAAGGTCCTGAATTTACATCTGCCCGATTGAGATGCAAACGAGCATTTTTATATGGTCGACTGGAGGTATGGACTGTTATGGGTGTTCCACGAAGTTTTATTCTTATTTAATCTCTTATATAACCATAGATTCGCGCTAAGTTGCCGGATGCAAAAGGAACCTGGTCTTCATTTGTTCTAGTTCGTATTTTACATAAAGACTATAAGTATGCGAATGTGCTGGGCTCATACGCAACTTCGTTTTAGGTTCCTGCTGAACGTACGTACGGTAGCGCAATGTGGCCAGATAACGGCCAAATTAACTTCGTGTCACACGTTGGACGCGAGCCAACAATAATTAGATCGTCAGTTTTTATTCAATCGAATAATCCGCGGCTAGGTGACATTCCCTTCTATACAGCTGATGTTCCTGATGCAACTAAAAGCTTTAAAACTTACACACGTAAGAGACTCTTGTCTTTAGATTTTCCTACTAAGGACGAAAATTTTCGAAATCCGTTTCTTGGTAGTGATATGGTCACCCGATGAAATCGAAATGTTTGTTCGCATGAAGGACACAGATAAGGACGATCGACGGATTTTTCTATGGGAAAAAAATGACAGAGATTGGACATTTTGGTAAGTCCGCACGGGTTTGGATGAGCATCATTGGTATGTTCATGTACTTTCTCTCCTCAGGCCGTTCGACAAGCCATTTCATTTGGAAATCGCTCTAGATGTTGGCGGAGACGTGTGAGTATATCCTCTAACGATCCATTTGAAACAATTGTTACTTAAACTTTGTTTTTTTTTGCAGAGCTGGTAACCAGATAGACAACCATCTATTTCCTCAACGACTTGAAATCGAGTATATTCATTACGAGAAAACACACTAGATAGGTTTTGTAAACAAACCGCATTAGCTCAGAGTCAGACTTGATATGCTTCTTTTCTTTTTTTCGAAAATCATTTTATACCCGAAAATAGAGCTAAGTCAATTGTTGAAATTTTCATTATATCAATGCATTATTCATGTTTTCGATTGTCATGATAAACAAACTGACATTTCATTTGTGCACTCTGTCTCAAATAGACGGTGATTGCATGAAACTAATCGTATCAGCCAATATTGGATCAACTCAAGAGATGAAAGTGTGAGTCTATATAGAGCAGAACTTCTATTTATTTGAAATTATTCATCCTCAGTAGTTGTGAAGTAATGTATTGTGTTTGACATTCTATGGTAACGCATTATGTAAATGATGACTCATACTTCTATTCTTTTGCATACGAAGAAAAAACAAAACATTTCTCATGTCACAGTTACAATACGTTTTAATATAAAATGCGAAATGTTTCACTTTCTTCTGTAATTGTATATTGATATTAAACACACAAAATCTAAACTAAGCCTATCTCTCGGATATCATATTTTCGACCAAATACGTTGTACGTATATCTTGTTTGATTTTGAGTAAATCAGGATGAGTAGAATGTAAAATATTTTCTCGAAGAATCTTGTTGCTTCTTTATACAAAATCACCTTGTATTTCATAAACATCACCGCAATATTTTTAAGAACTCTTACAATAGAACGATGCTGTGAAGCAAGTGATGTCTCAAAACATTTCCGTACTATTTCATAGCTCTTCAATGCTAAATCATAGTCACCAAAATAATACTTAACGTTTCCAAGATATTCACCTTCTTTTGGATGATTCATTTTCATAAGATAAATAATACCTGTATTCTTAGAACACTACGCAACATTTTCATTCATATCATCCAGTTTCTTTCTTAAAATTGCCAATGCTTGATTAGTATCACCTTTCTTCTGATACACTTCACCGACATTTTTATACACATAAGTAATTCGAATTTGATTGAAATGTAGTTTTGCATACAGAATCTCGAGTACCATTTGAAAATATCCGGCTACTTTGATAGAAGAGTTTAAAGTAAATCGAGTCTCTCCCCCGCAATTGTTTTCTTCATAAAATCAAAAAGTAAATGAAAATTCTGCTCCCTATTGTTCTAAAAAGTCATGCGTATATATTTTATTGTATCATTATAAGAAACTACATCATTTATTCGAAAAAAAAACGAATCTAACACGATCAAAACTTCTTGTTCCACAGGAAAATCACTCATCGATGAAATGTCTGCAAACAGCTTCAATTGATTTTCAGATGGATCAGCATGAATTTCAAATAAAACACTTTGTAAACCACTGTCAACATCATTCCTCTTTTGAATTAATATAAATAAGAGCAATTGATTGATGAAGAGTAGTTGAAAGAAAAATGAAATCACAGACACTAATTTATTTGTTGAATTTTCAAATAATTTCAATTCTTTTTTTTCGATATCAGTTGATCTTGTTTACTGAGATGAATTATTTTCATAGAATTTTTTTATACAAATTGATTCATTTCACCTTTATCAGAATCAGTCACGTTCATTCGGTCGAGGCAATCGATTAGTAATTCGGTTTGAAGTTTCAATACTGATGACGACTAGGTATCATAATTTTACTCAAACAGCTGCTGTTCACATTCTCTATAAGTAGAAAGAGCAATTTAAAAAATAAAGAAACATTTCCGAACAGTATTATCAAACTTGAATTCTTTCAACTGAAAAAGAATGGAATATACAGAAATTCTACAGTACCCTCAATGGAATTAGATTCCTACCGTAATAATAGAAAATATTGTTGATCATGACTATGTGTTTTTATTATCACGAAATCAATAAATAAACAAATAAGTACACAACAAACTATATAGAGATCGCAAAAGGAGAAAGAAATCTGTATTGGCATAGTAATATATGTTATAAAATGTAATACACGATGATGATAAAAGAATTTAGTTTATTTTTAATATTCTAAAAACAGATGAGATTGACGTGTTTAATAACAATTTGAAAGTCAATTTGTGTAGTTTCTGAATTGGTTCTTAGAATTCGACAGTGGATAAGATTATAATCGATATTTTATGTATAAAATGAAATGCACATTGAAATTGTGGTTCAATACAAAATGATATTCCTTTGGAAATGTGATGAAACATTTTCAGTTTATTTGGAGATTAATAAGATATTAAAAGCAAGAATACTTGATGTTTTTTTTTAATTTCCGTCCGATGCGTGTCTATTTAAAAAGAAGCTTTCTCTATAAATTGCTTTTTTTACTTGAATTTCACATCGATGCTATCTGTAAACAATACAACATTGGTGGAAGATGAAAATTCTGCTTTTCCAACATATGAAACGCCATTGAGTCGAACAATCAAATTTCATTGTTTACTTGTTTTTCAAATTCTTTCGATTTTATGCAGCGCAATCATATTTATTTCTTTTGGTCGAATGCGAGAACTACGAGCAAAACAACACAATCATATGTAAGTCATTTTCTTTCATTTATTCTTGCGAAACATGAAGATTTCTCTTCATCTTGTAGTGTAATTTGTCTATTAGTTTGTAATTTTCTTATCATAAGTATTGAATTACCAGTTACACTTATTTATATTCATTTTGGTCAACTGATCCCATCATCAGACAAACTCTGTCTCTACTGGATTTTTACAAATTATTTTCTTTTCACAACAAGTATATGGTTAACAGCTGTGGCTTCAATTCAACGACATATTCTTATTTTTCATGCACATTTGATGAATTCGCATATAAAACATTATACACCTATTATTCTACTGCCAATTTCTCTCTGTATTTGGTACATTGTTCTTATTTTCTTTTATTCTTGTGAACAACACTTTGATTATACTCAACCCTGGTGTATTGGTCCATGTTATACATTTCAAAGTGTAATATCAACAGTTGACTGGATAATTGGGTCATTTGTACCCGTGATTTTAACAGTACATACAAATATCGTACTTGTTGTACGAGTAGTTTATCAAAAATATCGAATGCATCGTGGTCGTACTTGGCGTACGACACGTAAACTCGCTTTTCAACTATTTTCAATATCTTTTCTTTTCCTTAGTATTTATTTGCCACTAATTATTATTTCATTAATTCGCTTATGGTTTAATCCAACATTTCTAATGATTTTTGGTATACTCTATATTTCATATGCTGTTTATCTAGTTCCATTATTAATACCATTTATTTGTTTGATAAGTCTTCCTGAAATTGTTTTACAAATGAACAAATTTCTTTGTTTCAACAATTATGTCGAACCCGAACGGCCTCAGAACATTCCTATGACAATAAGTTCAAGACGAATCAATCAATAAACATGTTGAAAAGTAGCAATGAAATATTTGACTGTGACATATAATACATAAGAACCACGAAAACTCTGCTCATTGAGTAAAACAGAACAGATATTTCTTGTTATCTCTGTTATAATATTTTGCCGTCGTAAACATCATGTTTTGATGAGACTTATGTAAAGAAGTTAAATCCGATTAAAACATTTAATCATTCAAACTCGTCTACATCTTTCCTCTCGAGAAGAAATGAATTGAAAATAATCAAATAATTGATGATTTTGTTTCTTTTTCATTTATCTCAGAAGCAGAAACAGCTGGTTGGGAAAGAACGGTAAATATGATAATCAATATCATTTGAAGAATCATTTGATTGCTATAAGAGTCAGGTGAATCGTTCCTCTGAAGATAATCGAAAAATGCAGACAAAAGAAGCGATCTATATAGAATAAAAATCAAATATCATTCGTCCTTGTCGATTGAAACAAAAAAAAACAAAGATTCGTATTAATTATAAGTGATAGTGAGTTCAATCAAAACATCAGCTGCAAATCACAATTCGTAATATTTATAACTTCAGACAACGCGATTAGAGATGAACATCTGCGTTAATTTAAAATAAACGGCTTTTACTTAACCGCGAATTTATAATTAATTAAGTGATTAACGTATAAGAAAGCTTCTCTATTACTTCAGTGGCAATTGTAAATCTATTCTGATTCAGCAGCTATGCATCCCCGGAGAATGAATAGAATCTGTTTTCCAGGTTGCGTCTTTTAAACTTAATGACTTCTAGAGTTAAGAAGTCAACGATCAAATTGAAAGAACATAGGGCGAGGACGTGGTGAACGATGCATCATTGTTGACCCTATACTCTTTTTATTAAGTAGCATACTTCTAATGTGGGTTTCCTTTAAAAATAATGAGGACATTTTTTTCCTCTTTCTGAAATGAAAGATAAAGGAACAGGACACGGTTGTATTGCGATTTCTTGTATCTCTTAATAATATCAAAAACATAATTCATGACACTTTGTATCTGAATTGACGTACAGATGATACGATTCAAATAATTAAAACGGTTTTCTTTCTGACCTCAGTTGATTTTGATGGCAACGCAAAATTTTTCTTTGTACGATCAATTTAACGCCATTATGACCCACAGTTTCTACTGAATTGATGAAAAATTTGATTCGCCGACCAAATATCACATTACATCTCGAAGAAGGAATGCAACATCCTGCTAACGCATTAAAAACAAGCACGGTATTATTTATTCATCTCTCAGATAATTCACCTATCAGTACATTTTACGTTGTACAGAAACTCCTCACGCCACATCTTTTATGGAATCGACTCGATAAACTAGAAATATCTTCTATACTTGTGATGAGTTGATAGTCATGCGACATTGTTTGTCTTTATATCTTCATAATAGGGAAACACAATGAAAAGTAATTTGCAAAAAGATTATCCAGAATTGACTATATCACTTTTGTACCTTTGTTCGTTGTTAGTAAGAAAATGAACACAAGATCGTGGTTCGAAAATCACTCTACCATTTTAAACGTTTCTCATTCAATTTTGACAAGATTACAATGAATACAACTAAGAAAGCTTTTCGTGTTTATCATTTGCTTCATTGTTCTGTTAGTTTTTAATACAAAGAGTGAATGAATTATTAGATAAAACCGAAGGAACATCAACTAATGACCTTGAAAAATTATATTCACATCCTACTCATCGATCGTTCATTCAATATACCATCTCTTCTACACGTGCTTGTCGAACATAGTACAAAAGTCACTTAAATAGTAAGCTCATTTGTCGCATTGTTTAATTGTTTCTTAGTAAAAGTCGGCATTGATCATTGTGCACGACTCAGAATATCTAATATCAATTATAAAGTTCTCAAAACTATTTATTTCTCTTGATGACTGATAATGCGTTTAAGGATTCGATAAACAAAAAGTTAGCAAAGAGAAAAAAAGTAGAGCACACACGTGTTCTTATCTATTGTTCTTATATCTACGAACTCACAACGAAAGTTGACTACTCATCAAGAAATAAACTGAGCATCGAGCAACAATTAACTATGTTCTCTGTTGTTTTCAGTTGTTTCATCACTGTCGCTTGTATTTCTTACACAATATGTGGACGAGTGATTGATTTTGAGGCAATTGGAGGCATCGCTGGTGATGATCGTCTATCTACTTGTCGAAAAAATACACATCTTCTCAATCAAACTGTGAATTCATTACAAACAAATGATACTATTGTGTTTCCATCCAATCGAACATTTTGGCTGATCGGTGGGATCTATGCTCGTCGTCTCGCTCACGTAACTTTCCAAATCGATGGTGTTCTAAAATTTTCGGACAACTTTCTCCAGTGGCCTCGCGATTCTCGTACTCACTTGGTGCTTGATTGTTTCTATTTCGAACAATTGGATCATGTTACCTTTACGAGCGCGAATACAGAAAATCAGAAAGGAGTTATCGATGGGTCAGGTAATCGTTGGTGGGGCATAGTGGAATACTTAGTAATTCGTGGAGACCGACCGCGTTTGTTAGTTATTTACAATTCTACAAATCTACTCGTAGAAAATATTTTATTGAAAAACTCACCAAAGTGGACATTCTACGGTAAAGACGTCGCTAATCTCGAAATTCGCCATACCGATGTCGATGCTCGTCGACATCCAGCTGTTCAATGGCATGATCTCGATGAATTAACTGCATTCAATACCGACGGATTCGACATCTCTGGAACTAATATTTGGATCCATGATTGTAATATTTGGAATGATGATGACTGTATCGCAGTCAAACAACAAGATTCACGTAGTATTCATTCGACATGTAGTGAAAATATGCTTTTCGAGAGAATTAACGCTTCCGGTGTAGGTCTATCTATTGGTTCTGTTGGCGCTTCTGTCGCACATTCGTGTGTGCGAAATATAACTTTTCGGGATTGTACGATGTATAATACATTCAAAGGCATTTATTTGAAGTCTCGTCCAGGAGATGAAGGACATACGGGAGAAATAAGTAGTATTCTCTATGAAAATATTCGAATATACAATGCTTCTCAGTGGGCTATATGGTTTGGACCACAGCAGGCTGCTTTCAAAGGAGCTTGTTCACTTCTCTGGCCATTCGTACCGGAGATGCCATGCCCGATTCCATCTGGCATCACTTGGAATAATATTACTCTTCGAAATATTACTCTCTATGATCCACAAATAAGTCCTGGTGTAATTGTTGGTAATACTTCGAATCCTATGAAGAATATTTTATTTGATAATGTAGTTGTCAAAAATCCCGGTTCACATCCATGGGGCGATAAATACTACGCATGTTCGAATGTCGAAGGTATTGCACAAGGCGATACTCAGCCGGTCCCACCTTGCTTCAAACATTACAAGTAATTACAATGGATAAAAATGAACAATAAGCTAGCAAATAATGTCATGTTTCGATATTAATAAAAATCGATTGAAGACTCGTTTGATAGAAGAGCACTGTTTCAATATGTCAAAAATTCTTCTCTCTCTTTTTCTTCGATTAGAGGACAACATTCCATTCCTTCATCATTAATAATTACATCATTTAATACGTGTATTCTGGAAGCTTCAGAAAAGCCTACGGAACATCTATAAACAACCACTTAAACTTCTAGAAACTTGATGATCTTGCAGTTCAGATGATTTCTGAGCAATTGTCCCTCAAAACATCGAAAGCTTCACGCATTTGTTACGAATTCTGATGGAGTTACGCTTTACGTTTTTTCCCACCATTCTCTCTTCAACTTGAGAGGATAAATCTTGCGCTTTTCTTCCGAAGTTTGTTGCTGCTCACTCTACTCTCGAGATATAATCGAATTTTGAACCGAATCATACACGTCTTATAATGCCATCCAACCGTCCGTCATCGTAGTTAAGACAACAAAATTGTGTACATACATGTAGACATAGTCTCAATCAAGTAAAACAACCACCAAAATTCAAAACAAACAATTGTAGAAAGTGATGTTTGTAATTATTCTAAATGTCTTCTCAAGCGACATTAAATGTCTAGTGGTAAACGTTTTTGGATTTAATTTGCGAAGCTCTAGCTATCTTTACTTTCAGAATGCTCATAAATGTTACGTACTTTACTACTAATTATCAAAGCAATAGACAAAGCTGTAGTTTCCAAAATAATGCAATACGAAGGATCTTAGTCACACAGCGATGATGAGGAAGAACAAACGAAAATAATATCCAGATAAACATTTACGAACTACACTTGAACATTACATCGCAGTCATATAATCAATACTGACTGATCTCAAGTTAAGTTTATACCATACGCGATCGAACGCGTCTGGATGCATTTATACTAAAAACATATGCTACCGAGTGTACCAAAAGTTTTGCGACACTTTATTTTGTTGATATCTTGACTTGAGAAAATAGTAATACTGTAATTCTTTTTCTGAATGATAGAGCAAGAGAAACTGCACAAGAGAATTCTTAGTCTTTGGTTCGAAAAAAATTTGTGGAGTCAGCGTTAAGTATCTGTTTGACACGACGGTGTCCCATTGTAATCGGATGAATATGAATGTCTTGTAGTCACTTGCATAAAGCGTTTGACGGCAGATCTTTCAAAAAACCATTAAGTTACTATTATACAGAGAAGTCAGTCAAAACAGGAAAATCGTTATCAATGAAAATTTTCAGAATTCATTTGCCAGTTCTTCATCTGGAGCTTAAATCAACGCATACATATAAGTTCCCATGAGTCTGTTTTCACTTGTTTTTGCAGCTCTTTTGACGGCACATCTCGTATGAACAGAATTCATGTTCTATCATTTCTAGAAGCTAAAATATCTTGGAAATAAAATTGAAGTATATCATAAAAAATGGGGCCGTGAAATGTGTACTTTTTTATTTTGAGAACGCAAAGTAAAACAGATGCCATAGTATTTGTGATTGCTTGGTATAGCTCTAAAAGAGCCTTTCATGGCGCAACTTTTGAAAGAAGAATTAGAAATATCTCTTTCAAATGTCAAAATACGTATATAAGAAGCAATAAACAATGTGCAGTTAATTGTATTGCGTGAGGACACTGTCGATCAGACAGATACTTAATGCGGACCCCACAAAAGTTTTTTCGAACCAAAGACTAAGAATTCTCTTGTGCAGTTGCTTTTACTCTATCATTCAGGAAAAGAACTACAGTATTACCATTCTCTCAAACCAAGATATCAACAAAATAAAAAGTGTCGCAAAACTTTTGGTACACCCGGTATATTGGCTCCTATATTCACTGTACTATTAAGAAGTGAGACACATGAATCCAGCTGATAATTGTCACTAACATCTTATAAAACAAATAAGGATCCAGTTGATAAACTTGAGCAACGATGAATGAAATATTCGTCGGTGTTCGATTCAATGTATTCAGTATATCATTTCTGTTACACATACTCTTTGAACGTGTTTTAAAACTTAGAAAAATGCTATCAATAAAAGGAAAATATGAATATAATATTGAGTAACGTTTGCACGCCTATTTATTTATAGGAGAAGGATTGAACATCAAGTTCGGCAATATAAAAATCACGTATCAGTGATGTTTCTTCGGAGTACCCGCCGTTGAGTAGATGCCGATCTTCAATCAATGTGATCGTTATGTAGTATAGAACATGATTACAAACCTAAAAAAAAGTGTGAGAGAGCAACTATAAAAATATTTAACGTATGAATTACTTCTCAACTTGTAATGATAGCGTACATGTATGGCAGGTAAGAAGTTTTTCAATACTGCTCGATTTTCAGCTAATGGCGAAGCAGAAATGCATGCTTGATGTTTTCTGCAATTATCGATCGAGAATGATTTATTGAACACTATTCAAAAAGCTTGTGAAACGTTCTCTTCTCGACTTCGAAAACAAGGTTAGCATATGAGTTATAAAATGCATTCGGTTATAATCGTAGTGACTATAAAGGAGGTGTTGGACTATACTATCTGATGGTGTGGAATGCGGTCATTGTCCTCTTTTCAGAAATGATGGAAAAAATCAGATGATGAAAAAACAGTTTATGTCCATTTGATATGTTGGACTTTGCATACTGTACTTCAATGAAAGGACAGGAGTTGTGGAACAACTAGCAGTTGGTTTCAATTACGAATGAAGTGAACTGTGTTACATATGATGATCTAAGGTCATTTTCATGGATGATGCTATCGGCATCTGAATGTCTTCGATTGAATACTCAAAGAGAAAACAAATGGGTTCACGGACATGATATTGGTTCGAGATGAATATAGGAGAAGTGCTCACTATTTTGATACAAAGTCCGTTTCAAGCTGGTATATGCTGCATTATGTATCCTATAGTAAACGTTGCTGACTATGTTTTACAATTTGGCAGAATGGAAATGCTCAAGTTGGTTTGTTAGAAGGAAATGCCAATCCACGTTTGCTGCCACCTGAAAATACTCAAGTTCAGTTGACTACCATCAACTAAATAGAACGAATTTCTGTGTATCAATAAATGCTGAAACATTGAATATGACAGTTAAACGTGGAGGAAATGTATGCGGTTTATCAATAACCAAATAATTGATTGACTCATTTCGACAGACAAATTTTGGAATGATCTGTTGTGAACATCAGTATTGCCGAGAGAAGAACAAAACGTGTTAACTGGAAAGAGAATGCGAATAATCCAATCTCTTCTCTTGTAATTTCACCTAAACTCGTGTCTTACACACAACAATATTTGCCGTTATTCATACGAGAATAGAATAATGAATGGGATCTAAACATCTACTTTGGATGAGCATTTAATGGAAATACGACGAGTCTGCAACGAAAGCATTCCTCATCTTTTCATAATTGCTTATGATTGACACAGAATAATTCTTTCGCCACTACGGCAATAGAAATTGTAGAATCTGACTAGTAGGAAAAGAAACTTAGTGCATTTCTATTGTCGTCAATATTTTGTAATAAGTAATGAAGTTTCAATAGGCTACTTTTCGAAAACAAGTTCTGGGATATTCACGAACGATGTGTTGCAGTAGAACTCACAAATAGACAAGCGCTTTAACAGGGTGTTTCAGAAGCTCATTTCTCTCGTGCTTAAGAGTAGCTGCGACAATTGGAACAATTACGTCTCTCTAAAACAGCGTGTATCGTTTCAACACTCACATCGAATAGAATTCATCAAACGTCACCGACTATACCACCATACGATATAGCCCTTTCCAACATCAATCCTATTAACAATGTTCCGCATTTAGGTGATTTCAATGTGTCAATTCATCGGTTACTCTCTCATTGAAATACTCGCTGCGTATTCTGATGGAAAGACATCGGCAGAATATTTCTCTCAAAACCTATATCGTGACGCGTGATTTTGAAAAAAGAGATGATTCTATTTTCCAGCACGAAAAGAAGAAATCCGCAGTCCATTCGCTACAGATTCTAGGTTTCTTTCGTATGTTAAAACGTGTGGATGGTTTGGTTGCAATAAGCATTTGGCAATTTGAACGGCGCGTTCACAATAGAAGTGAGCTTTTGGATAATCACCCTTGCTATGATACACCGAACCGATGTTGTTGTAGGATGTGGCTAAATCAGGATGGTTTGTAGGAAGTGATTGTTGTCGAATTGAAAGAGCTTTCTCATAGTATTCAAGTGATTTTTGATAATCACCCTTGCTATGATACACTGAACCGATGTTGCTGTAGGATGTGGCTAAAGCAGGATGGTTTTCAGGAAGTGATTGCTGTCGAATTGAAAGAGCTTTCCCGTAGTATTCGAGTGATTTTGGATAATCACCCATGCTATGATACACTAAACCAATGTTGTTGTAGGATGTGGCTAAATGAGGATGGTTTTCAGGAAGTGATTGTTGTTGAACTGAAAGAGCTTTCCCGTAGTATTCGAGTGATTTTGGATAATCACCCTTGCTATGATACACTGAACCGATGTTACCATATAATATGGCTAAAGCAGGATGGTTTGCAGGAAGTGACTTTTCAAGAAGCATAAGTGATTTGGTATATAATGTTATGGCTTCCTGAAACAAGCCTTGCTGATCTCGGATACAACCAAGTTGATGACGAATCAATCCCTCGTCACTGTCATCTGATGTTTGATTCAGTAAAGTGTCATAAATCTTCTCAGCCGTGTATTGTTGACCCAAGTAAATCAGCAGTTGGCCTAATCGCGTCCAACCTTTGCCACCAACATGATTCTCGCGACGGATATGATCAGTCAATGTGCGTAACTCTTGGTCTGAATCAAGAGTCAGTGAGATATTCACTTCATAGAGTGGTCGACCAGTGCCAATAACTTTGATGTCATGAATGCGAAACACGGTGTGCATTGAAAACAACACTTCGGTCTCTTCTGAAAAGTGGCCTTAATTTCCAACACGAACAAATGNAACTCGGCAACAACGGCACGAGGGCACAAATCCTTTTGAGGTTTTTCATACCTCATTGGGGTCTACTTACTACCAAAAGATGGGATCTAAACTGCTTGAACACCTAAATATGTTCCCTCGTCAGTGCAAAGCATTGAAACGTGAATATAATGTTCTATTTTTACGACAAACAATCTTATTTTCGATGAGGAGAAACGAAAAGCATGCGTCATAGACGTCTGTTTTGTTTATCAACATGAATAATAAAGTGGATATTTTGCATTTCTCCAGTAAATAACATCGTAGTCAGCGTATTGACATGGTTTCTCTCACCTGCTACGTATGCTTTATAACTGTCAGAATTTCAATCAAACCATTTCATTGACTAATTTTTCATATCTTGATCACATTGCATCAGTTCAATGGACGCTGATTGTTCCGCCTCTAACATACTACGTAAGATTGTTGCACAGGTTTAGTGCATAGATATTTTACATTGAATTTATTTATTTTTACTTTCACAGAGACTCCTACAGAACTCCAGTCAGCTTACCAAACAACTATGGACGTATACTCATCCAGCTGTGCCCCAGTTCGAAACTCATTGTCTTGTTCAACTTATTTTAGTATGTCTAATTCATCCAGCCATCGAATCACAGTCTTTTTCTCTGTTCGTGTTTAACAGACAGATTAACCTCAACTACCGAATCCCATAGAAGTGCAACATTCACCAGTCAAAGCATGTCTCCAGGTTATACCTCAATTAGTTTCACTTTCTTTCCTGCCAACACGCTTTCGTTTTTTTCTCTTAGGCAGTGGTACATTCAGTTTTTCGAATCAACAAAGTGCAATCAATTCATCGAACTCCATCCAAGTACAAAACTGTAGTCCCCTACAAAATTCAAATAGAATTGAAGTTTTTATTCAACCGAGAGCGCAACAGCGTTTATACTATGAATCAGAATATGAAAGTGGAACCTTTCGCTTCATTCAAGGAGTTCAAAGAGAGCAAAACGGAAAGAAATATGAATATCCAGCTATTAGAGTAAGTCTACTCATAAGCGTCTTCCTCTTGTAATCGATCACTCCACTGATTTATGTCTAGGTACTATTGGAATATTGCGATATCATTCCGTCCTTTTATATCCGTGTTACATTGACTACAATTCAACAGGGACATGGAAGGCGTTATATCCATCCTAATCTTTTCATAACACCAGATGAAGTGGAAGATCTAGAAGTTCTTCGTAACGATAAAAGTCTATTTTATCCAATCAAGAAAGAAAGAGTAGATACTGATAGGATTATGGAGTAAGTTTCAATTTATTCAGTCGATTTCTTCCTTCTCATGGGTCTGTATTTGTCCAATTAATTCTAGGTTTCAGCGTCTCATGATGATTACAAACAAACTTAATAAGCTGAAAGAGTACACATCTTTAGTTTCATTTGAGACAAGTGAGCTTGTTGATTTTCGAAATATGTGTTAATGGAATCTGATCCATTCATTCTCTTTTCAGATGAAGAATGTCCGATCACCGTGCAACGCCCGAAGGACACAATTAACGAGTATCAGTTACACAAGTCACAGTTAGCCTTCAGTCTCGGTCAATTTATAGACGCAAATCATTTTTATTCCATTCAAACAATATTCTCGGACGTTATGGAAGAAACAAAAGACGGTAGATAACTACTGACTTGTAGATCTTCATCCCTTATTCTTTCTTCTCTTTGGGTTCATAGGACCATCAAAAGATATTCGATATCCTGTAAAAAGCACTGCTGCATCTAAATTGTACGATAACTTTACTCAAGACGGTGCAATCGACTCAAAAAAATGGGAATTTGTAGACAACACTGGAATAGATGTGTGGGGTATACATACACAGCAATACTATACATCTAATGTTCTCACCAATGCACGCTGTCAGAACAATCATCTAGTCATTGAGGCACGAAATAACACCAACGAAGGTCCTGAATTTACATCCGCCCGATTGAGATGCAAACGAGCATTTTTATATGGTCGACTGGAGGTATGGACTGTTATGGGTGTTTCACGAAGTTTTATTATCATTTTATCTCTTATGTAACTACAGATTCGCGCTAGATTGCCGGATGCAAAAGGAACCTGGTCTTCATTTGTTCTAGTTTGTATTTTGCATACAGGCTATGTACCCGAATGTGCTGAGCTCATACACAACTTCGTTTTAGGTTCCCGCTGAACGTACGTATGGTAATGCAATGTGGCCAGATAACGGGCAAATTAACTTCGTGTCACACGTTGGACGCGAGCCAACAACAATTAGATCGTCAGTTTTTATTCAGTCGAATAATCCACGGCTAGGTGGCATTCCCTTCTATACAGCTGACGTTCCTGATGCAACTAAAAGCTTTAAAACTTATACACGTAAGAGACTCTTCTCGTCAGATTTTCCTACTAAGGGCGAAAATTATCGAAATTCGTTTCTTGGTAGTGATATGGTCATCCGATGAAATCGAAATGTTTGTTCGCATGGAGGACACAGATAGGGACGATCGACGGATTTTTCTATGGGAAAAAAATGACAGAGATTGGACGTTTTGGTAAGTCCACGAGTTCGGATGAGCATCATTGGTATGCTCACGTACTTTCTCTCCTCAGGCCGTTTGACAAGCCATTTCATCTGGAAATCGCTCTAGATATTGGCGGAGACGTGTGAGTATATCCTTTAATGACCAATTTGAAACTTTTCTTGTCGTTTGAAATAATGGTTACTTGAACTTTGTTTTTTTTTTCTTTGCAGAGCTGGTAATCAGATAGACAACCATCTATTTCCTCAACGACTTGAAATCGACTATATTCGTTACGAGAAAACACATTAGATAGGTTTTGTAAACAAACCGCATTAGCCGACAGTCAGACTTGATATGCTTCTTTTCCTTTTTTTGAAAATCATCTTATACCCGAAAATAGAGCTAAATCAACTTTTGAAATTTTCTTCATATCAATACATTATCCATCTTTTCGTTTGTCATGATAAACAAACTGACATTTCGTTCGTACACTCTGTCTCAAATGAATGGTGATTGCATGAAATTAATCTTATCAGCAAATATTGGATCAACTCAAAAGATGAAAGTGTGAATCTATACAGAGTAGAACTTCTATTTATTTAAAATTATTCATCCTCAGTAGTTGTGAAGTAATGTATTGTGTTTAACATTCTATGGTAACGTATTATGTAAATGATGACTCATGCTTCTATTCTTTTGCATACGAAGAAAAAACAAAACATTTCTCTTGTCATAGTTAATACGTTTTAATAGGGTGAGGGTGTGGTTCAGATTGTCTCGTATAGTTTTATGTCCACCATAGTGTCTCTGAAACATTATTATATAGAGCCGGCCTCTATCGATTTGTTGGTAAGTAATTCCTAAACTCGAGGGATTATTTGCGTGAATTGGCAGTGATGTTTATGACGCATTAACGATTGGTAAAAACCTGTTTAAATTGCTTAGATAAGTAGGATATATATAACAGCTTTTCAACACAAAATAATATACTGATCAAAACTCAACTTCTACTGATCAACAAATCAAACTGCTCATTCAGTATAAAATACTGATCGTTTAAATACAGTCCAAATGTTTTCTCGTAGAATCTTGATGCTTCTACAAAATCACCTTGTATTTCATAAACACTACCAATATTTTTAAGAATTCTTACAATAGAACGATGCTGTGGAGTAAGTAATGTCTCAAAACATTTTCGTGTTATTTCATAGTTCTTCAATGCTAAATCATAGTCACCAAAATAATACTTAACGTCTCCAAGATTATCATATATGCTTTTTCAAGATATTCACCTCCTTTTGGATAATCGATTTTCATGAGATAAATAATACCTGTATTATTAGAACACTACGCAACATTTTCATTCATATCATCCGGTTTCTTTCTTAAAATTGCCAATGCTTGACTAGTATCACCTTTCTTCTGATACACATAAGTAATTCGAATTTGATTCAAATGTAGTTTTGGATACGGAATCTCGAGTACCGTTTGAAAATATCCGGATACTTTGATAGAAGAGTTTAAAGTAAACATTTGAAACAATTTTCTGCTGTGTTGAGTTTCGCCATACGGCCGAAATTAACTTATTGAGTCTCTCCCCCGCAATTTTTGTCTTTATAAAATCAAAAGGTAAACGAAAATTCTGATCACTATTGTTCTGAAAAGTCATACGTATAGATTTTGTTGTATCATCATAAGAAACTACGTCATTTATTCGAAAAAAATAAATCTAACATGATTAAAACTTCTTGTTACACTGGGAAATCATTCATCGATGAAATGTCTGCAAACAGCTTCAATAGATTTTCAGATGGATCAACATGAATTTCAAATAAAACACTTTGTAAACCACTGTCAACATCATTCCTCTTTTGAACTAAGATAAACAAGAGCCATTGATTGGTCAAGAGTAGTTTAAAAAAATGAAATAACAGATACGAATTTATACGTTGAATTTTCAAATAATTTCAATTCTTTTTTGGATATCAATTGATCTCAATAAAACATAAAATCTTAATTATTTTTCCATATCACAAAGAAAAGAAAACGAAATAAAAGTAAAACATCGATATTTTGTAAACGAAGAACTCTATTTAATATACACGATGAAGAAATGAATCTCTTATATATACCATTGAATTCCTTGATCAGAAGAATTAGTATTTCGAAATCGATCGATCATTGTTTACTGAGATGAATTATTTTCATAGAATATTTTTCCACAAATTGATTCATTTTACCTTTATCAGAATCAGTCACTTTCATTCGGTTTGAAGTTTCAATACTGATGACGAATAAGTATCATAATTTTAATCAAACAGCTGCTGTTCACCTTCTCTATAAGAAGAAAGAGTAATTTGAAAATAAAGAAACATTTCCGAACAGTATTATCAATCTTGAATTCTTTCAAATCAAAAAGAATGGAATATACAGAAATTCCACAATACCTTCAATCGAAATAGATTCCTACCGTAATAATAGAAAATCTTGTTGACCATGACTATGTGCTTTTATTATCACGAAATCAATAAATAGACAAATAAGTACACAACAAACCACATAGAGATCGCAAGGAGAAAGAAATCTGTATTGGCATAGTAATTTATATATACATTTCATTTTCCAAACACAAGATCGTTGAAGAACATCTCAGTATAGTTACAGGAAAAAAGGAAAAGAACTAGATGACATACATATACGAACTATGAGTCTATTTTGTTTATTTAAATTGCCTTGAGAGTATAATATAATATGAAAAAATAACAACAAACTTGAACTATATAAAATATAATACACGATGATGATAATGCATTTAGTTTAGTTTTAATATTCTAGAAACAAATGAGATTGATGTGTTTAATAACAATTTGAGAGTCAATTTGTATAGTTGCTGAATTGATTCTTAGGATTCTATAGTGGATTAGATTATAATCGATATTTTATGTATAAAGTGAAATGAATATTGAAGTTGTGGTTCAATACAAAATGATATTCCTATGGAAATGTGATGAAACATTTTCAGTTTATCTGGAAATTAGTAAGATATCAAAAGCAAGAATACTTGATGTTTTTTCAATTTCCGTCCGATGCGCGTCTATTTAAAAAAGAAGCTTTCTCTATTAATTGCTTTTTTTACTTAAATTTCACATCGATGCCATCTGTAAACAATGAAACATTGGTGGGAGTTGAAAATTCTGCTTTTCCAACATATGAAACCCCATTGAGTCGAACCATCAAATTTCATTGTTTACTTGTTTTTCAAATTCTTTCGATTTTATGCAGCGCAATCATATTTATTTCTTTCGGTCGAATGCGAGAACTACGAGCAAAACAACACAATCATGTGTAAGTCATTTTCTTTCATTTATCCGCACGAAATATCAAGATTTATTTTCATCTTGTAGTGTAATTTGTCTATTAGTTTGTAATTTTCTTATCATAAGTATTGAATTACCAGTTACACTTATTTATATTCATTTTGGTCAACTAATCCCATCATCATATAATCTTTGTCTCTATTGGATTTTTACAAATTATTTTCTTTTTACAACAAGTATATGGTTAACAGCTGTGGCTTCAATTCAACGACATATTCTTATTTTTCATGCACATTTGATGAATTCACATATAAAACATTATACACCTATTATTCTACCACCACTTTCTCTATGTATTTGGTACATTATTCTTATTTTCTTTTATTCATGTGAACAACAATTTGATTATACTCAACCATGGTGTATTGGTCCATGTTATACATTTCAAAGTGTAATATCAACAGTTGACTGGATAATTGGATCATTTGTACCCGTGATTTTAACAGTACATACAAATGTTGTACTTGTTGTACGAGTAGTTTATCAAAAATATCGAATGCATCGTGGTCGTACTTGGCGTACGACACGTAAACTTGCTTTTCAACTATTTTCAATATCTTTTCTTTTTCTTAGTATTTATTTGCCACTAATTATTATTTCATTAATTCGATTATGGTTTAATCCAACATTTCTAATGATTTTTGGTATACTCTATATTTCATATGCTGTTTATCTAGTTCCATTATTAATACCATTTATTTGTTTGATAAGTCTTCCTGAAATTGTTTTGCAAATGAAGAAATTTATTTGTTTCAACAATCATGTCGAACCCGAACGACTTCAGAACATTCCTATGACAATAAGTTCAAGACGGATCAATCAATAAATATGTTGAAAAGTAGAAATGAAATATTTGACTGTGACATATAATACATAAAAACTCTGCTCATTGAGTAAAACAGAACAGATGTTTCGTATTACTTATGTTATAAATAGACACTCCTTCGGGTAGTAAGTTGAAAATGAAATCGATCTCTATTATAATATTTTGTCGTCGTAAACATCATGTTTTGATGAGATTTATGTAAAGAAGTTAAATCCGATTAAAACATTTAATTAGTCAAACTCATCTACATATTTCCTCTCGAGAAGAAATGAATTGAAAATAATCAAATAATTGATGATTTTGTTTCTTTTTCATTTATTTCAGAAGCAGAAACAGCTGATTGGCAAAGAACGGTAAATATGATAGTCAATATCATCTGAATAATCATTGGATTGTTATAAGAGTCAGGTGAATCCTTCCTCTGAAGATAATCGAAAAATGCAGACAAAAGAAACGATCTATATAGAATAAAAATCAAATATCATTCGTCTTTGTTGATTGAGACAAAAAATAAAGATTCATATTAATCATGAGTGATAGTGATTTTAATCAAAATATAATGTTACAGCTGCAAATCGCAATTCGTAATATCTACAACTTCAGACAACGCGATTAGAGATGAACATTTGCGTTATTTTAAAATAAACGGCTTTCACTTAACCGTGAATTTACACTTAATTAAGTGATCAACGTATAAGGAAACTCCTGTATTACTTCAGTGACAATTGTAAATCTATTCTGATTCAGCAGCTATGCATCCCTGGAGAGTGAATAGGGTGAGAGGGTGTAGTGAACGATTCATAATTGTCGACCCTATACACTTTTTATTGAGTGGCATACTTCTAATGTGGGCTTCCTTCAAAAATAATGAGGACATTTTTTTCCTCTTTCTAAATTGAAACATAAAGGTAGAGCACACGGTTGTGTCGCGATTTCTTGTATCTCTTGATAAGATCAAAAACATAATTTATGATACTTTGTATTTGAATTGAAGTATAGATGATACTATTCAAATAATCAAAACGGTTTTCTTTCTGACCTCAGTTGATTTTGATGACAACACAAAGTTTTTCTTTGTACGATCATCAACAATATAAATTTATTAA